TTCTTATCCTTCCAGACCACCTCCACATCTATGTGAATATTAGAGAAGCTCTGCAGACTAACCTCACATCCTTCCTTCCATAGCATCATCAACCCCACACAACGATCCGATCTTTCAACTTCAAAACAACCCCCCATCTTTGTCGCCACTCTGATAGCCTCCGTTTTATTTTTCCGTAATTTCGTTTCAGAAACAAAAACCAAAATTGGGTCCTTATCGGAGATCATTCTCCTAAGTTCTCGAACTGTCGCTGGGTTCCCAAGCCCCCGGCAGTTCCAACAGAACAGCGTCATGGTTCCTGGCGGGGCTGAAACTCAGCCTCCGCCAATAACTGTGCAACCCCAGCTCCTTCCTCGGGTAGTTCACTTGGGTCTTCCTCCTCACTCATTCCCACCTTAGAATTCAGAGTAGAGTCCGAAATATTCACAAGTTTCCGATTGATCCTCTTCACTTTCCTTTTCCCCTTACTTGCATCCCCAATCTTCCGCTTCCCTGAACTGGATGAGCCAACTTCAGCCCGAACACTCTCCACTCGATAATCTTGGAGTTCCTCAATCAGCTCTCGGTTACATCGAACGAACACATCAGGGAAGGTACTAGGGAGAGAGCTGTCCGTCCCTGTAGGGTCCGAAGGGTCTGAATCATCTTGGTTAGCACTTGATGATACTAACAAATCCCTTCCTGGCATCCACGGTCTACCACGTGGAGTCCTAGTTCCCCTATCCGGACTAGGAGAATTGGCCGAGCTTGTCACAGTCCTTCTATTTAAATCCCCTTCAGCATAAACAATCCCCACTTTCCTACTCGAATTACTCTCGTCCGGTCTCTTAATAGGAGAGACTCTAAGCCATTCTCCAAATTGAAGAAACTGCTGCAATTGATCCGAAAATCCCGGACACTCCGTAAGCACATGTCCTATTATCCCACACTTATGACAAAAGGAAGGAAGCCTCTCATATTTTAATAGACATTTCCTCGAATCACCATTCGCACAAACGCCCATTTTAACACATCTTCTCAGAGGTTTAGAACTATCAATCTCTACTCTCACCCTAAGAAAATCCCCCATCCTTCCATCACCTGGTCTAGTATCAGTAGCTATAATCTTTCCAATACGATTTCCTATCTTTTCAGCAGTCTCAATTTTCATAAAACCCAAAGGCAATTCACAAATTCTAACCCACACCGCTAGCAGCCGGAAATCAAATTCTTCAAGACTTAGCTTAGGATCGAAATGAGCAATGGCTAAAAGCATACCTTCAAAACTCCAGGGAGTCCTTTTCATTATGGCCAGCTTGTCCGAGATCGTCTTAAACTTGAAAAGGAACATGTTTTCCTTCAGAATACTTGCATCCTCAAGCCTCGAATGTCCCCAAATAGATCGAAACACCCTCAACACCGCCTCACTTTCTACTTTTTTGTAACCGATTATCCTTGCCACAATCCATTTGTCCATTTCCATTTCATCATCCTCATTAGCCATCCGAGGTGGGGAGATGTCCTCTGACTCCTCCTCTGTAAAATTCAAGTGTTTCATCAGTTCCGCTACCTCTTCAGACATCTTCCAAGAAATAAACACAAACGTGGGAGAGATGCAATAAACAATCGTGAGAAAAGAACAGGCTTCTCCCTTAATTTCTTTGATTTCGACTACTATCCCAAAAGAGCTTAGTTGAATCACCAAAGAAACATAAAAAATTTCTCCCCTCCTTATAGCATTCCAACTACACCGACCTCTCTTATCCTTCCTACACATATCCCACCTCCACGTCTCACATTCCTCCACTTGCCTTAATTCCCTTCGAAAAGTCCTCCTTTTAGACATATGTCCAATTTCCAATATTATTTTAATATATCTTTCCATAAATATATTCATATAAAAACTAATATTAAAATAAATATTATAAATTTCCCTTTTCCAGCACACCCCACTGTCCGTACTTAGATCAGCGCCTACAACACTGTAGCCGCCGCCTTCTGCCAGCTGTTCTGCCCGATTCAGCCGAGGACTCACATCGCCTACAATAGCCCTGCCACATCCACCGCCTGTCAGCACCGAGTAACAAGTGGGATATCCCCGATCCCTTCCAATCCCATCAGCCGCCTGCACCGAGACACAAGTTGCTATCCTCAGTCCATGACTCGACGATTTAATCATCATTTTCCAGATATTTCCATAAAGAAAAAATCTTCTATCATAACTAAGTCCCCTCTCAACCGAAACTAAACTAACTCTCTTGACTTCTTGATTATCATAACCGAACAACCCCAATTCCCTGTTATGCTCCAAAACAACCCCTGTAGCAATCCAAAACGAATCACCATCCATAACTTCATCGTCCCGTTTGTTGTTTGAAGACCTTCTTCTAATCTCTTCTTCAAGCTTAATTTCTTTGTTACTCATAATCTTCCATATCAAGCATCTCTCAATACCTTTATCAATCTTCAATTTCCCCATACTCCTTAATCTTCCCTCCCCTTCCCTCTTCTTAATCCAAAAAAATTCATCTTCCTCGAACACCTCCATCATACCTTCCCAATCTTGAAATTGCTTTAACTCTATCTTTCCTCTCTCTTTATCAATCCATCCACCGTTACTATCTTTCAGAAGATCCTGCAAAACATAAAACAGAAAAATAGTCCAAATATGAAAACACCAAATGCTTTTACCTTCATTTTCTATATCTGAGGACGAACACCAAGAGTGCCACACTTTTTCAGGATAATTATCATTCCCTAAAAATTTAAGGATTTGACAACTAGAAATCCTAATTTTGAGACACCATAACCATTTTGAACTCCTAAAAGGAAGTTCTACAACCGGGAGTCCATGATAATCCATGGACGAGACCAAGAAACAACCCAAGAACAATCTCTCGAAAAAGAAACCTAGAGAGAAGGGAGAGAATCTCTCACTAGACACCATTACCAGTAGACATTGAAATGTCTAAAAAGACGTTATATTCAAATGTATATTTGAGGATTTTTTTCTTTAAAAGTTTAAATATTTATATATTTACGTAGTAGTACCATATTTAAAAAAAATGGTTGCCCTCTCTTTCGAGACTTTGCCCTGACTGATTCGTATCGATCAATGTCGCACACCTAGCTATGGTAGGTGAACCTCATAATAGGAAATTTTACATACACAAGACCTCGAACTTAAAATCTACTCAAGTGATATTAAATTGTTTATCACTTCAACCAACAACCAACCTTATTGGTGTACTATATTAAATTTTAGGTAAACTACACCATTCGTCATTAAATTTTACTCTCTCTCATATTTCACACACTTCACTTTCATTTTTTCCCAATTTAGTCATTGAACTTTAAAATTGCTCTTGTTTTGGCTATTCTAAATTATTTTATTATTATTTTTGTATGACATGACATTTTTTATTGTTTAATATAACAATAATTTAAAATATAAAATAAAAATATATGGTGGGTCAACTATTCACCGACATACCGTTGATGGTTGTCGATGATGGTTGTTCGGTCCCAAATTTCATCAGTCGCTTCGTCTTAACCTCTAAGTTCGAATTCGATCTCCATTTGATCGAAACATGCTCTGATCCGATCAAAAGTGAAAAACCGAAATGCTGACCACCGTCAATCGCCTTAGATGGTAGTCGTTCGATCCCAGATTTCATGAGTCGCTTCGCCTCATCCCCCGAGTCCGGATCCGACCACTATTTTGTAGGAACATGCTCGAAAGTCCATGAATAAGAGATCAAAAGTGAGGAAACTGAAATATTTCAGTTGAGATTCACGGGTTTTGGGATTTTTTACTGAAACAATCACAAATTCGGACTCAAAGTGTCAATGTGAATCTCTTGGTACAATTTGGGCTCAAACGATTACCGATTTCGAAGGCCGACGGTGATGAGAAGAGACGGTGGTGATGTTGTAGATGATGAAGTGAAAATATTATTTTATATTTCAATAATAATAAATGTCATGTCATAGAATAATAATAATAAAATAATTTATAATAACTAAAACAAGAGCAATTCAAAAGTTTAATGAGTAAATTGGAAATTTTTAAAGTAAAGTGAGTGAAATAGGAGAGAGAATAAAGTTAAGTTAAGAATGATGTAGTTTACCCTAAATTTTAATAATCTAATTGTAAGGTGTTAAGTGATTTGTGACGTCCTTAATAATTTAGTAATAATTCATACGTGATTGAATTTGAGTAATAACTATACGTGGGAGTAGGGATGGCAACTCAACCCGAATTCGACGGGTTTCGATCCGATCCGACCCGATCGGGTCGGATTTTTTTAAAAAAAATTCGGGTTCGGGTCGAGTTTTTTTTAAATGTGCTGTTCGGGTCGGGTCGGGTCGGGTTTATGGTGAAAAAAATCCGACCCGACCCGACCCGAAAAATATATATAATTTTATCATATATATTTAGAGATAATTACAATAATGTCCCTCCATATATAATTTTTTTCAATTAAGTCACTGTTTTCATTGAATAAATTTTTTTTTATTATTATTTCGGGTCGAATCGGGTCGAGTCGGATTTTTAAGTCATATATTCGGGTCGAGTCGGGTCGGGTCACGGGTGAAAAACCCTTTCTTCTTGGATCGGGTCGGGTGGCCCAAAAACCCGACCCGACCCGACCCATTGTCATCCCTACGTGGGAGCCTACGTTTCAAATGGAATCCATTTAAATAAAATAAAAATAGACAAAAAAGTGGGTCCAACCCCATGTCACCAACATGCCTTACACCTTGAAGTTCCAGAACTTTCCACACTAAAGGAAAATGTTCATATTTTTTATTATTATTTTATTCATAAAATGAATAAACTTTTTTAAAACAATTTTATCATTAAATCATAATAAAATGACAAGGTTCCATTATAACCTCTAGAACTTTCTAAATACTTTTTTATAAGAAACCCACTAAATATATATTTTTCTATTTTTTTATACACACTTGCTGCCGTGGCTGTTATTATATATACGGGCGTGACTAAGCATCCCAACTCTTACTATAACCGCAAAAACGACCTTCCCAAGGAGGAAACCTCCTCACAGAAAAAACTACTAAAGATTCTCTGTTTCACTTTCTATTTATAAACGTACTGCTTCACTTTAGATTCAGCTTCGATTTTTTTTAACATGCTTGAGGAATCAGCTTGGCGTCCATGAAGCTTCCCCTGTTTTCAAGCTCCCGATATTCTCCTTTCTCTTTTGGATTTTATCGAAACAAACTGTGATCAATAAGTTTGAAGTTAGACGATGAATCCGTATTTTCCGGTGAAGGAAGAGTACCCGAACTCGAGTTATTTACAGTCCGACGATGACCCGTCGGCGATGATGATGATGCCGGCGCCGCAGCCGATGGAGGGTCTTAATGAGTCGGGGCCGCCGCCATTTCTCACGAAGACTTTCGACATTGTTGATGATCCTAGTACTAATTACATAGTTTCTTGGAGCAGAGGAGGCAACAGCTTTGTTGTGTGGGATCCTCACGCTTTCTCCACTAGTCTTCTTCCTCAATACTTCAAGCACAATAATTTCTCTAGTTTTGTTAGGCAACTCAATACTTACGTAAGTTTTCTCATCTCTTAAGTTTTCTGTTTTTAATTTTCAATTTTGAATGCTCTTCTGGAATTTTGGGTTTCATTCATTTCATTTGCATTGTTTTAATTTTCTTTTTAGCAACCATTGGTTTATCTCCTTGTTTGTTGGATGCAAAAAGTCTCCTCTTTAAAATTATCAAAGCTCGAGATTTTTCTTGAAAGTTCTGGAATCTCACATGATTTACAGATCGTAAAAGCCATTTTTAAAATATTTTTATTACGTTTTTTTTGTAGAATGTTCTTTGATGTCCTTTTATGGATTATTTTTTCTGCAATTTTTTTTAATAAACTTTAAGCCACTTGTCTTTTTTTTTTATTGTTTTTTTTCACCCATAATGGTTGCTTCTGGAAATGGGGCCTTTGCTCAATTATTATTTTATTCAGTATTTGTTAGCCAAGTCTATCTCCATCTACAATGAAATTAAACATGAATTAATCAGCAAGTTTTTTGATTGATTATGGTATGATTTTCTTTTACTTGCAGGGTTTTAGAAAGACTGACCCAGACAAATGGGAATTTGCCAATGAAGGGTTTCTAAAGGGGCATAGGCATCTACTGAAGAACATTAGGAGGAGAAAGACAACATCTCAGCCCCTACTATCTAATCAAGCTTCGGGTCCGTGCATCGAAGTTGGCCGATTCGGACTAGACGGTGAAGTCGATCGATTGAAGCGCGACAAGCAGGTACTAATGATGGAATTAGTGAAGCTTAGACAGCAACAGCAGACGACTCGAGCTTACATTCAAGCCATGGAAGAAAGGTTGCAAGGAACCGAGAAGAAACAGCAGCAAATGATGTCGTTTCTAGCTAGAGCAATGCGGAATCCGGCTTTTATCCAGCAGTTGATGCAACAAAAGGATAAAAGAAAGGAGCTCGAAGAAGCGATGTCGAAGAAACGGAGGCGGCCTATTGATCGCCCACCCGTTGGAGTCGATGTAGGCGAATCGAGCATGATAAGTCCAGTTAAAACCGAGCCTTCTGAGTACGGTGATTACGGATACCAAGTGACGGAGTTGGAAGCATTGGCACTGGAAATGCAAGGATATGGTAGGGCAAGGAGGGACCATGAGGAAACACAAGATGATTTCCAACACCAGGATAAAGAACTCGACGAAGGGTTTTGGGAAGAGTTGCTGAATGAGAGATTCGAAGGCGATTACGATATACCGGGAACCGAAGGCGCCGATGATGAAGATGTGAGTGTATTGGCTGACCGATTGGGATACTTGGGTTCAAGTCCAAAGTAGCATCAGTTCCTCTTATTTTTCTGCAAAATGGGTCTTCAAAAACACACAATTAGGCCATGATATTTCACATTGCTTTGATGGTTTCTTGGGACTTGGCAGGCAGGACTGGGAAAACAAAAAGAACAATATATCCATGGAAAATCTCCCTTGTTACTGGTGTTTCTAACCCTGTTTGCCCCCCTTTTTGTATATCCTTTTTGCAGCTTAATTTTCTGTCTTTGGTTTATGTTATTGCAGCTAGCTTTGTAGATCAGAATCTGATGTGTTCATCGATCATGACTTGTTTCACAAGGTTCTTGTTCTGGTTTTTTCCCACAATGTACTATTCAATAAGCTGCAATCCTTTAATCCACTAATTATCTTTGCCCTCTTTTTAATTTCTTTAGATTGTTCTGAAGCTGTTGAAAATCGACAAGATGTAGCCGCAAGTTGCAAAGAATTCCAATGATCACTGGGTATTGTTTTACGTACAAATTCATTAATGTAAAAAATACTTTAATATTAATGATTTGAGCATGTTTTTCAGTCCATCAATTAAACTTTTTTCAACAATAATGAACAATCATGAAAGGATTTGCTTTTGTGTACCATGAAGATATTTTTCATGGCCATGGCAAATTGATTCTGATTGGTCGTTGTCAAATCTTTCTCCAAATCGCAGAGCTTTAAAACTGGGAACGTACCCTTCCGCAAAATCAAACAAAATGGTCTCTCACCTCTTGCTTTTAAATTATGTTGCTTTCACCTGATGAATTCTCTGAAAAGCACAAGATATTTTTTTTCCTCCGAGCTTTTGGCTGCTGTAATTTCATCAAAAAGTTTTGAGATTTGCAGGGTGAAATTGGTAGGCTATGAACATGATCACGTCTTCAAAAGCGACATTCATGGTTGTCATCATGTTCTTTTATTTGTGGCTGGAAATTGAATTGTTGATCAACCACAAATCCATTGAAAATGGTTCTTGGAACATCTAAATTGAGTGAAAACAAATACCAAAATCCCACTTTCACTGTTTGTACCAATACAATTAATGGCCCTGAGTGTGGCCCTTAAACTTCTAAAACCATAAAAAAAATGTCAGAAAAATCAGCTTTCTGGTTTCAATTTCTAGGTCTAACTGCTGAAAAAAGAGAGCTGCAATGATTTTAATCAAATCAGGGTTACTGATCCTTGTTTCTTCAACCTTTTTCAGATTAATCACTAGTTTTTTACTGCTGCATGTTTAAACTACAGGGTCATTTTGATATTTTGCTGCTGCATGTTGTTGATGCTGCTATGATGGGGCTCTGTTGCAGGACCCAGGCAATTCTAAAGGTAAAATCGTTGCTTTCTTTGAGACAAATTATGTTGGGGTTTTCTTATGATTAGATAGCAATATGCAACTTGGCAAACATTTAATCATTTCATCAAATACGTGAGAAAAAAGTAAAAGACTAATGAACAGCCTTTTCTCTGAGTGTTTAAATGATTCCAATCTTGTCAATGAGATTGTCCTGGTTACGAGAGTCCGTTTTGTTCGTCGTGTAATCGAAACAAGGCCGAGGAGATATGACCGACATGATATTAGCGGATGCCGATCAAGTAAAGTTCACTTTCTTTATAGTAAGACATTAGCATACCGAGATACAAGTGGTGTTCTACTTGTGTGGTTATACTATGAATGCAGAAATGCTGAAACAGACTGAAAGTTTTGGAACTTGTACATGTCTGAAGATAAATTTCTCTCGACGGTGACATCTCGTTGCCGTAGGAAGAGTATGTCGAAGCGAAGACCATCGATGCTTGAGTGACAAGAAACGATGAGATCAGTTGTTTTTGAATTGGTTTAGCATACCAGTGTCAACTAAACTAACTTCACAGGAAAAAGTGTTCACATTCATGCATTGGACGTTCTTGGACTGTTTTGAGCACGTGACAGTTTGCAGATTGTCTGCCTTTAACTGTATACCATCTACCCGGTTAAAACCGTAAACTGTCAACAAGAATTTCTTTAAATAATCAACACAGTGTTGACAATTAAAGTTAGTACTGTAATCCAAACTATTGTATAGATGTTTATGTCAAATGATTCTGGTTGGGAATCGTTTTTAGGTGGTTTAAAAACGTTGGATATTAAAAGCGCGTTTTTAATAGTCAGGGTCTCATTTATCATTCTGAGTAAAGTATTATTAAACACCTATCGTAAAATATCCACTTAGAGATTATATTGACCCGCATATCAAAAACATAAAGTATATTAAAACATACATCATCAAAAGGGGTCAAATTAACTAATTATCCAATTCGAGTTTGAATTTCGAAACTTATAGGCAAAGTTTTGAGACCCAACTTATAGATATCGAAACTTAAGGTCAAGTATGGAAACCTCAAAACCTATTGATTTTGATACGTCGATGCAATAGCTCTTTCTTTGATCTCTTTTCGTTTTCGTTGCACCTAAGTTGCTATTACAATGAAAATGATGGTTCATCCCATGGAAGTATTATTTGAATCAAAACGGTCAGTTAATGTGCAGTAAATTTTTCTTGGCTCTTGGGGGTAACTCTTGCATGGCAACACCGACATCCGTTATAAGATGCCTATCATTACTTACCTTGATTATCATGTTTCTATTCATCTGTGCTAGCATGACTGCTTGAGGTCGGTTATTGCCGATTACTGTTTACCGTTTTAACTACATCGAAATTGTGCATTATGTTCTTTTTACGTCGACGTAAGACTTCATCATAGATGAATCGAGGGATGTTGGGGGCGGTAGTATCCTCTGAAAATTTTAAGTTCTCGTATAGTTTCTGTATTTTTTTTATATTTTGTATTGATAATTTAATTTTGCATTCATGAAATTTTATAATTTTACACCCTTAAATTCTTAATATAAATTTCTGAATTTGTATCTCTAATAAAAAATCATACGTTTGTCCTTAAACTTGACGATCTTTTGACTTTAGCTAATCTTAGATTTAGTATCTCCAACTCAGTTTCATCGAATATGTGGTTCTACTTCTATTTTCTTAATTCTTGATCATTATTTATAGGATGTGATGAAATAAAAACTGAAACTTATAGGATGTGATGAAATAAAAACTGAAACTTTTTATTTTATAATAAAGGTAAACAATTCATCATTTTTATCGTAATATTATTATTATTTTATTGAATTTGATCATTCAAGTGGGATGATCACAAGGATTATAGTATAAAGTGTCATGTAGGGCCTATCCCATTGTTTTTGCCCTCTATTTATTACCTAATAATGTGTACACAAGTTGGAAGAGAGAGATAAGAGGTGGGTGATAAGGAAAGCTTATGGACCGACTCAATTTGGGTTTATTTTTCTTGTAAGGTATATGTCCCTCGTTTGATTTTGAAGTCTAAATGCTTTATTAAATTGATTTAATTTTTAAATACAAAAAGTTTAAAATTATTAAATTATTATTTTTAAATAATTTAGAGGTGATTATAAATTATTATATGTTTAAAATGTTTTTTAGTCATTGGTAATGTATATACACTATAGATTAATTGTTCAAACCCAAAACTTTCAAGAAGATCAATTCTATTTTTACTACTAAGGTAATTCAATGAGTTCAAAATTATTAAATTATTCTGAATCAAAATTAAATTAATAAAATGTATAAATTTTAAAAGTTAAATTATTATTATTCTATGCCATATTATTACTTCTTCTAGTATATAATGATCAATAATTTAAAATAAATATCAACTAAATTTTTTAACCACTTACTCAATATATTATTGACTTGAATTATAGTTAGAAATGGAGTCCAAGTCAGCGCTTGTGAGTGGCAAAAGAACAAGTGTAGTAATTGTGAATAGAAGAAGGAATTATATAAACAAGCAAACAAATAGAAAGCCTATCCCTATCTCATAGGCTTTCTCGTGAGTATCAATGAACCATAATGTGGGCCCAGCTCAGGCCCATCCTCTCCTTCTACAAAGCCATGTTGCTGGTAATAACAATTGTACAATGAAACCCTACCCCAACAAAACATACTCTTATTCTGCGGACGCCAAAAAAAAAAAAACCAAGACATTAGCTGTGACCTACGGGGAGAAACTGTCGTCTTCCAAATGGAAACTCATCAATCCATGTGTATACTATGAAGTTACAGAGATTGTACCCTGTAAATCAACCCCTCAAATGAAAGGCTTGGATTAATTGATAAAAAGGAAACGAATTTTTTAATAGCATCAACTGAACATTTTTTTAATCATTGAGATCATTCAATATATTAAAAAAATGATCTTATATAATCAATTATCAATACTATCGAATAAACCATTTTTTATTAATAGAATAAACCACTTTCTATCTTTTGGTAAATTTATCTTAATTAGCATATATATATATATATATATATATATATATATATATATTTATTTGTAAAGATAAAAATTAATATGATTAATTAAATGAAATAATTAATTTAATGGTTGTATATATTTTAATAAAAAATAAATTAATTAAAATTGTGTATTATATAATACAAGTGGATACAAATTAATATAAGCATGCCAATCAATGTTGACAAAAAAAATTATTTAATAAAACAAAATATGAACTACTTGCTATCCATTTAGGATGGAAACAGGGGCGGACATAGACTTTATCTAGGGTGGATTCGTGTTCATCCTTAAATCTAATTTTTGTATATTAGTAGTTTATTTTATTAAGGGTGTCCATCCTAAAATTTTATTTTTATTCATTCTATATAAAAAAATTATTTTATTAATATATAAATGTTCATCCTAAAAAGTATTTCTAAATCATTGGTAGATGAAAATATTTGGAACTAACGGGTACTAGTGCCATACCAAGAACCATGATAGAACCAACCTAGCTTCAAAATGGAAAACAAATTCCAAGTTTGATCGGTCATATCAACAACGCTGCAATTCAGAACAGGGATTTAAGAAATTTCATAAATAAATAAAAATTATACTCAGAAACAAATCCAAATAATAAGTATTATAGATAGATATTTATAAAAAAAATCTAATATATTTTGTATCTATAGTTTTTTTAATTTAAAAACATAATAACTAAAATTAAATATATTCTAAACAATTATATTAATACACAGGAAAAAAAACACCACGAATTCATGAGACTTTTAATAGATTTAATTTTTCATTTCCGAGCATGAGACAAACCATATAGGCTCAAGTCTGCATTCTTCTCCGATTATATCAACATTCAACAAACAAGTGATGTAATCATAAGCCACATTACATTCTCAGTGAGAAAATACATATAAATTTAAATTTTTAAGATAATATAATTGGAAGAAACAATCCCGAATCTTAAACATAAACAATAAAATATTTATAATATTTTGAGCGTAACAGAGAGTCAGATAAATAGCCGAGTTTGGTGTAGTCTTGAAGAGATATGACGAGGCAGGAGAAAAATGGGTGAAAAAAAAAGAACATAAAAATGGTGGAGCAAGAGAGCCAAAACTGCATGCGAGAATCTGGTAATAGAAGAACCCGTGAATAAGGAGATGGACCCCATTGGCATTAGGAGCCTTTCTGCATGCAAAACAATAGTAGCAGACTCACATCATTGCTTTGCCAATTCCACGCCTATCATAACTCTGCATTACTCCCTCAAATATATAGCTCCGAATGGTAGTTTTTTGTTCTTCTTCTTGTTTTCCTCGTATTTTTGAATCTCTCTTTACAAGCATGACAAAAGGAAAGATTTTTATGATTTTACTTTGGTCGGCTCTGGATTTAAAAATATTTTTAGGGTAAGTACATACGTATAAACAATAAAAAATTTCACAGGTGAACACGAGTAAAATTTAAGGATGAATACAATTAATAAAATAAATAATTACTTGAAGAAAATTCAAATTTCATGATAGTCATTCGTCCACCTTTCCGCCTTAATAGATCCCTCGTGCATGTATGTAGATGTGATTGAAAGGTCTTTGTTGTTATGTTGAAAAACCTTCGAGTGAATTTTAGAGCATTATTTCCATACATATAAGATATTTTTTTAACACTATGAGATAATTACAAGATAATATTTATTCATAATATATTTTAACAATTAATAACGCACACCCATTCTATAAACATATCTACTTGAATGCAAGACCTCATATGAGAATAATATTCCCTTTAATCACTCAAATTATTCGATGAATTCACGTACATTTAAGAGATATGTGACGATCACTTGTCAGTTTGACGCAGTGATCTCTTAGGGCGAGGTAGTTTCTTGGGCATGAATTGGGCAAGCTCTTTAATTCGAGAAAACTATCTCAGACGAAATGGTTGCGTATAACAATATGAATATTAAGTTATGTCTCACTAATTAAAATGATTTATATTTGGCTAGAACTTGAGGTAATAATATCTTATCTATTGCAACATGATTTTGTTTAGAATAATAACGGTATATAATTTTATATACTATAAATGTATTAGATGATAATATATCATAAAAATAAACTTTTGAAAAATAATTTTAAAATTTCACGATGACGTTTGTTCCATGTCCATTTCTTTTTGTTTCAAAATTAGATTGGATTTTTATTTTATTATTATTATTGTTTATAATTAATCTACCTTTTAGACTTAAGTCTTCTACATAATTAATTTTTTAATTTTAGTATCGATGCTTATATTTATTTTATTTGATATGTTACATTTGTAATTAATATATATATATTAATTTTATAGAATGAAATGATGAATTATAATTATTTAAAAAAAGTAAAATTAAATAATCAAATATATATACAAACTCATAAATAAATAAATACTCAACTCTCCATACCCTTTGTGTTTACCATGCTTTCAAAATCCTAGTATTTAATTAGTATAATACAATGATTCCACCCAAATCAATCTCCTTCTAGGGTTTGGGTGTTTTATAACAGGAACAAAGGAAAAGACAGAAAGCGCCAACGTCAGAGAGTAAAAGAAAAAGAATAAATTATTATAAGATTAAAACAAAAAATGAGAGCAAAATATGTTGAATCAACTGGGGCTGAGCTGAGATATTTCCTAGTCATTGCTTCCCTGAGATATCTCTACCTTTTCTACATTTCTTAACCCTTTTTTTTTCTCACCTGGTTTTTTTTAATATTCTTTTTACTGAACTGATCTATTATCTACACCACCCTGCTACTGAAACTTTCCACTCTTATTCTTCCCCTCTCAAAATCTATCTGTAAATCTATATATGTGCAGAAAGGGCTCAGTTCTTGAAGGTTTTTATATATATATATATATATGATATCTGATTGTGTTGCAGAGTTGTTCTGACGAGCAATCCATGGCTAGATAGTGACTTGGAGAGAATAACCCATCATCATCTCCTCACGAGACTTTGTTTATAATGCTACCCTATCAACAAAACAACTAATACTTTAAGAAAAGGGGAGAAATCAAATTAGTCTTTTGTGGTTTTTCTTTCTTTCTCAGACATGTTTCCAACAGTTATGTCCAATTCCAGTTCTTGGTCTGAGGAAGCTAGTGTTTCTTCTATTACAAGGGTTCAAGACCTAGGTAGCTTAAATCCCATTGTTTCATCCATTTCTCCACAGCAGCGGACACTAAAGAAGAAAAGAAATCTCCCAGGGAACCCAGGTAAGACTTTGTTCGGTTCGAAAACATGTTTTTTCTACAGTAAAAACAATCCGTGTTTTAACTGTTTGATGTTGTTGTTGCTGCAGATCCGGAGGCTGAAGTGATTGCTTTATCTCCCAAGACTTTACTGGCGACCAACAGATTTGTGTGTGAGATCTGTAATAAAGGTTTCCAGAGAGATCAAAACCTTCAGCTCCATAGAAGGGGACATAACCTTCCGTGGAAACTGAAGCTAAGGAGCAAAGAGATGAAGAAGAAAGCCTATGTTTGCCCCGAGCCGACGTGTGTTCACCACCATCCGTCGAGGGCTTTAGGCGATCTTACCGGCATCAAGAAACACTATTGCCGGAAACATGGAGAGAAGAGATGGAAGTGTGAGAAATGCTCAAAGTTCTACGCTGTTCAATCTGATTGGAAAGCTCATTCTAAAACTTGCGGAACCAGAGAATATAAATGTGAATGTGGAACCCTTTTCTCAAGGTATTTATTTCATATTTCATCGAAATCGATTTATTGATAGATTAATCCATGTAACTTACGAAATTCAGATATTAAACGTAAGACTAAATCTCTTTGGATGCTCTTGGTATTTAGTGTGGAAATCCATTTTTGTTTTGCTTTGTTGTTCTCTTACACAAGAATGGTAACTGGTAAGTCATGCAGGGAATATGTGTGGGAACTTAAATGCATGCAGTGACAGGTTTTCGTGTTGTCGAAGTTGGACACCATTAATACAAATCGTCTGTATCTGTCTCTTGGTGACCTAATTGTAAAAGAAATGCCTTTGAAATCTGAACCAGATGACCATCTTCAAATTATCTGGAAAAAATGTTTTTTTTCTCTGTTTTTACTTTTCGTTTTTTGTATCTTGCAATCGAGTGGACTGCGGTCTCAAAAACAATGATGTTATCCAAGAGGGAAAAAAAGAAGCAAAAGAAATTACTATAATTATTGCTTTTTGGAGTTCATGGTACAATTGATCAGAAATCTTTTACAAAATTTTATTTCCTGTTAGGTTGCCATTATTAACTCGCAGAAATCATCATAACTGATGAAATCTGCAAAAATATATGGGGGCTGATTTTGCTATTTTCCTTTTTTTCCCACTATCCATCATCATCAATTAGATCATGTTTCGATTGCATATCTTTTGTTACATGCATGAAGCTCTAGTTTCAATATATATATATTATAAAACACTATCCATCATAATTTTTCGAAATTCATGAAAATTCGAGCCATCCTTTTGCATGCATTACATACACATTGATTAACATTTGACCAACAAATATAAAGTTTATTACATTTATGATTTATTCAACGCGCATGCATAATCCTAGGGTTTTGATTTTTATGTTTTTTTTTCTTTGTGAAAATCTCCAGGAAGGACAGTTTCATAACTCACAGAGCGTTTTGTGATGCATTGGCTGAAGAAAATGCAAGGTTTTCAACGAACAACCCTGCCTCCTCCGCCGTCTCCTGTGTCGCCTCCGCCGTGAATCCTCCGTTTTTCCCTTTCCAAACTAATATCTCTTTCCATCCATGGCTGGAACCTACTCAGACCTATAACCCTAACCCTAATGATAATAACCCACTTCATGTCAACCCTTGGTCTCATCATTTTGTTCCATTCTCCCAAGAACCGGCTACGCCGCCGCCTCCGAAGCTCGGGTTTGTCTCACCCTTCCAGAACCTCCATGTCAGCAATAACATTTCCTCCAATGTTGCCATGTCGGCCACCGCGCTCCTTCAAAAGGCTGCCACTGTTGGGGCAACTGCTATGCGGATAAACAACGACGACAGAGGCTGCAACGACAACATGGCTGGTTATGTCTCATCGGAATTTTTTGGTTTCGGAGCCGGAAGCCTGGGCTCATGGCAGAAGAGCAGCGACCATTTCACGAGGGATTTTCTAGGTTTGACCGGAGACAATCACCATCATGGTGGTGGCAATGGAGACTTTAACCTTAGCATGAACGTGAGAGAGGTTCTAACGTATGCCGGGGGACTGGAGTTGCAGCAGTTTGAGAGAAACCACTCGATGTTGAAACCCCAGGGTTTTGGATTCGCGGAGCCTGCCTCGGAAACATGGGGTGACTACTAAATGTCAAAAAGGGTCAAATTACGTTTTGATCTTTCTACTATACTTAATTTGGGATTTAGTCCTTGTATTTTAATTTGGAATAGTTTAATCTTTTTATTTAAATATTATAATTAAAATTTAAAAGTTATTTTTATTACTTTAATAGATATAAAATTAAAAATATGTAAAATTAAATTCTTAATAAATGATATAATAAAATTAATTATATAAGAATTTAAAATTTTAAAAGATACGACATCTCTTAATCCATCCTTAGATATTCTCAAAAGAAAAAAAAAGTGAGCGATTTGAGTTTAAACAAGAAAGCTAAGTAGTTTTCTTGCATACATTTTGTTTAAATTCATGCAAAGCGATTTGAGTTTAAACAAGAAGCCAACTTGTTTCAACATGAGAAATTTCCTTTTGATTTTCCGGATTTTCTAGGGAAAGTATATTTACTAGCTAGGCTTAGGTGTGTTGATGATGGACGGTGTTGGCGTTATCATATTTTTGGAAAGAAAGAAGAAAAAAATCCCATGCAAACAATGGAGGATAGAAAAATTTAAGAATAGGGTCCAAAATTCTAAAAAAAAATTCTTAAAAGTAATGGGTATGCAAAAATTGTAATTTTTTTTCTTTTTTCCTTAACACATTAAACTAAATTTAAACACATTTTCAAAATAATAGGATGCACTTGGCCCCTATAGGGGCTTAGTGCATCGCATGCAAATTATACACATTAGTACTTATCAGATTCTCCTTTGTGGTTCATGTCCCCCTTTTTTTAGATGAAAGAGCAACGCGCTCTATTAAGCTTGCATAGGGTGAATTAGGGCCTCCTCCTGAAGAGCAGAAGAACCTCCGATGGTGGTGTATGGTATAGCCGAACTTCATGAGTCTCCTTTGACACGTTCTTTGCCAAAAGGTCATGTCCTTTCTTTATCATTACAGCTATATAATATGACAATTTCCCTATCAGATATTTTATAAATTCTTTTGCTACTTTTGGCTTTCATAATTGAGTTGCATGGTTTTGAATGTATATGGGAGTTTATTCCTTAGTAGTGGAGGATCCAGAAATTTAATAATTAATGTATAAAATTTTAATATTATTTTATTAAAAATAATGTGTATATTTTTTTCTTGAACATTAAATTAAATTTAACCATTTTTCTAAAATAATAGAGATACACTTGATTCTTTAGAGGATTTAGGAGAATATAATATTATGTTTTATTGAAATCTTACCCATTACATTTTCAATCTTTTAATTCAAATCATCCATTAAAGTTAAAAGTTAATTTATATTCATCACAAGTACAATAAGAAATGGATCGATGGGTACTAAGATACAATTGTACCTTTAAAAGTTTTAAATTTTAATTTCCTAAACGTTTTCTAAAAAGGTAGGTAAGGGCTGCAAAAGAAATGTCAACGATTACGAAAAAAATGTTGGATACATACAACTTGAAAGTTTGAATGATCAATTCAGTCTTGTCTTTTGTTGTCATTATTTTTGGATTTAGTTTTAGTTAGGTAATTTCAATGACCCTTTACCAATTTATTTGCAAGTCGTTCCCATATCACAAAGCCTTTTTTTGGTTGCAAATGGGAGCTTACATTACATGTACGCCCAAAACCCTAAATACAATATTATTAACCTCTACAAGTATTACACTGTTTAAAAGAATTTTTTCGATAACAAAAACAATAAACACTTTAAAAAAATACCTTAACCAGGAGAAAAGGTTAAAGCCGTATATTTAACAAATAATATTATATGGCATATTTCATCAGGGAATCTCATTTTACCTTCTTTCAGCCATATCCTGGATTGGGTCTTTTCTATGCTTTTCTTTTCTTTTACCTTCTGATGTAAATCCCCCACTTTTCCACCCACCCTCCCCTCACTAGCACTACAAATTAACACCCTGAAATAAAAGCATCTTTCTACCGTGTTGCTTAAGGCAATAACTGCAAAAGCCCATTCTCATTAATACTTGCTATTTTCACCCATAAACAAATTTTAGAATTTAGCAAAATATAGAAAGGGATGCACGACCATGATGGTATCTGCAATTATCACCACTCATAGTCTTTCCTATAAACTCATAAAGTCCCCAGATCAATGAATGTCCATTCTCAACAAATAAAATAATGCAGGTCAGAGACATTGTGTGTGGTTAACTTTGGGGAAGTTTAATAGTTTAGGGTTCGATTAAGCACTTCCCTATCTCAAACTAATTACCAGATTTTCCTCAATCATGCTTACCATTTTCATATAGTTGTACATGAGATTTTTCACCTAAAAATGTTGTTTACACACACACACGTTCTTAAGGCACTATTCAAGTTTTGTAATGATTTGTATTCTACGAAGTTGTTGATAACTATAATGTGAAGGTACTGGTTGTGATAGTTTCTGGAATGAAGATGCACCGATTTACCATCTCAGGAGGACCAATTCCCTAGTGAAGAATGTTGTGTCATGAGAAGTCTCGTCCAACACTCCGTTTATCAAAGTTCCCTCCTACATATTTATCCAACACATTTTTGAATGCCTGCAATGTAAAAAGTATTAAGGCTAAGAATGCAAGTTTAGAATTTAGACTATATCGACGTATGATGCATCATAATTCAGCAAAATTTCCTGTTTGATGTGTGTCTTGTGTGACCATAACCATTGTAAAACTAGCTAAAGCAATGAATAGGAAGTATGAGCAGAAAGGTTTTTCTTATAGATATATCTGCTAGCAGATGATGTCTAAAATCTGTGCCATAAACTGATAATTGATAAATGCTTCATTTGTTCTCAAGAAAAAGTTCAATATAGTCAAAACATCACCTGACATGCAAATGACTCTTTCCCGTTTAGAATAGCATCCATTGCTGCAAATTGGTTATCAAATACCCCATAGAAGACCTGGTAAAATTTGTTCCTGAAAACATGAATAAGAACAATTGTTACGCCAAAAACAGTTGCATAGAAAAGAACAAAATCAGAAATTAAATCTAAGAATAATTAAAATGTACCGATCATCTTCGGTGTTGTGTTGATCTATCTCGTCAAATTTCCGTGTAAAGACTTCTGCCCCCACCGGTGAAAGTAAGTGCAGTATTAAAGCTTCCAAAGTTCTGGGGAAATTGTGCTGGAAAGCGATAGAAACAAATGGTTAACTATTCCTTCATAAAAAGTAAGAATAACATAGAAAATCAGAAAGGTATAATGAGAGAAACAAAGGTAATTTAAAATAAACTTTGATAGGCAACCCCTTCATTATGCTATTGTTTTAAGCATGCACAACCCAATTTTCCCAATATTTAGTTTTCCACGAGTGTTAGAAGAGGACAAATACCTCACTTGGAGCACCAATCTAGCATGTACCAATAAGATTCAACATAAATTCTTCAATTTTGAAATAAAAATAAAAATATTCTTCCAAACTCAACATAATTCAAAACAGCATTGATGAAAATTCTAGTTGCACAGTGATAGCATAATAATGCTTATAAGAGACAGCAAACTCACCGCCATGGCAAGAAAAATATCCTTAAAGATGCCTGGTTCAAGGGTCCAAAGAACTTTAGCTACTGGATCTTCTTCTAAATGAAATATTTCAGTCATTAAGGTTTTATTTTGCTCATTTGTCTTATAACACATCAATCCATTTGTTGAATTAGACAACACTGGTTGATTTTGATTAGAAGCATTAACACGGTCATGAACTAAAGCAACAAGTTCATGAAGAGCCTGGAGAGCACAGGGTCTCAATTCATGCAAAAGACCGAGTTGCTCTTGTTCTTTCTTTTTCAAATCCTTGCTCTGTCCAGCCTGATCCAAGCTATGATCAACATTACCTGGTGATAAAGTTATAAAGTTTAATAATAAACAATCAGTTTCTCAGCATGTTTATGGTTTCTTGTTTTTGGAAAAAAAAATTCGCATGCTTTTCAGAAAAAAAAACCTTTGTTGCATGGAAGGTGTGGTTTATTCCCATCCTGTCTCCACATAGCAGAAGGACCCTTCAAAAGTACTTGGTCCTGTCCTAGTTTCAAAATAAAACAAACAACACATTCATTGATGGACAAGGATAACAAAAAAGAAAGAAACATCTAACAAGCAGAGATTTTTAGTACACCTCAACCCCAAGGCAAGAATACAGAATAACCGGTAAACATAAGAACAATGTTGACTATTGCATTACCCAGTGCTGACTAAAGCATCATTTATCATGGTTCTAGTCCATACTAGTCAAGGATCAATTAACAATGAGGTACCAAATGTTCACTGAAGCTTTTATCTTTTAAAACTTTATGATATGATTTGATCTATTTAATTAAGAATTGATGTTTTTTAAGATTCAAGTTACCTGATGAAGATTTATACCTTCCCCCCAAAGTTCAAGATTTCGATACAGCTATAAGATTTTTAACCAAAATTCAAAGAAAACAGCTTCTTTTGTTGCAATGAACCATTAAAGCAAGAAAAATATATGGAATGGGAATTCTGGACACAGATGTAAGATCCATAAACTCAAAAACCCATAAATTGGATAGAAATAACAAGCCAGAAAAAAATGGACTGTTAAACAAATTGTGTATCATAGAATGTCAAAATGGCAAGACAAGTGGAGTGTTATGTCAAAACATAACTCAACAAATAGTATAGCATTGAACATACCATTTCTCTGTCTGTCAATCTTCATATAGCAGGTTCATTCCATGAGTAACAGAAATTCAAGTTAGATTACAATACTAATAGTATTTAGCATATTTGCTTTCATGGGGCAAAAGGATAAATTATAAAAGCTAAAATATTTAAAAAGATTATGATTTATTGCTACCTTCTAAGTATTATACGCAGATAATATGCATCCATGTGGTCTGCCAAGCTAGACATTATGCTGGAGCGCCACCAATAATTAACAGCAATAGTCAACTCATCACTATCTACTTGGTGGAACCTGTATCAGTAGGAAACAAAAATCAATCAGCCTAAGGAAGTACAAAATCACTGTAGCCCAATACAACATATTGCCATCAGTGGAGATATGAGGGGGGAAAGAGCTTCTAATGGCCGCTCAATTTGTATTATAAACCAAACAGGCAATGTGGAACAACGCTAGCAAGGTTTTAAGTTTAAGAATGAAGTTACACGTCAACCTTTACTCAGTAAAATCATAAAACATACACAGATACACATTAATAGTTCATCCTTTGTAAACCCTGAAATTCTCCTCCACAACTTGACTTTTTTTTTTTTGATAGGAATAGGAGACCTCATTAAAAACCTCCCTCTTAGTGGTCCTTTACCCTAGGGTAAGAACCAATTAGCGGAAGGAGGAAAAGAGTGTCTCAATATATTGAATTCAAACGAAGTACATAAGACTTAAAAACACTCCTGAGAGTTACATAAAACTTAAACACACTCCACAACTTGACTTTAATATTGTCTTATCATGATATGCTCACAATATATGCTTCTTTTGTTTACTGTGGATTTTATGATTCTCTGCCACAGTTCTCAACAGAAAAAGTCAACTCAAACAGAAGATACAAATATCGACTTGCACCACTAACCAACTTTACTTAAAGATTTGATTTTTCCAGTCCAAAATATTAATGCAGTTGTGACCTTTATTCAACATTTCTCTCATGAATAAGGAGACTAATCGTAACCAGTGAGAGAAAAGGGGATGAGTTAGAAGTATTGATAGTCTCAAAAATGATTTTCCATGTTGTCTTTCAATCACAACACATTAAAGTAGGATTAGACAGCTTTGAAAATCTAGGTCAAAAGAAAATAAACTTGCAAATAAGAAATAACCTGAAAGCAAGCAATTATTGGAAAATGAAGTTTTCAATATAAAAAAATGGAAGAACAGGAGATGATGTTTTAAGACATCCACCAACCCAAGTATTCTTGAATGTAAAGTCACCCATATGCTTGTCAGGATCACTCATGCCTTCCATTTTCGTTTGAAAAAGTTCCAAATCAAAATCACTACTGGAAATATCTAACTTCAAACTATAATTGCAAGTCTGACAGCCGGGGATTGGATACCCTCATAATCAAATCTAAGATGTGCCAAACTTAAAGAGAGAGAGAGAATTAATATTGGAGAAAAGAAAAGAAAAGGAAGAGATCAATCTTATTCTGAGACTTAAGGGTGAATCAAAAAGAGACTTTGAGGGTAGCCTGCAAACAATTATTTTCATAAAAATAAGAGCTTAACCTTACCAGCCTTCAGGAATGAAAAGTGCATCTCCCGCATGAAGAATAACCTTCTGAGAGTATTCCATGGAACATTGTGCTCTTGAATGAATTGAAAAATCAGGGTTTTCCAGAGCAACAGAACTGCCAAGAACCCCCCCCCCCCAAAAAAAAAAACCAAAAATAAACAAATACATAAGATACATCAGAGCAAAGAAAATGTTAAAAATATCAAACGTTTGAAAATGCTAAGAATGTAAATTTGGAAGTCATAATCTTGCAATCCAAGCATTCCTTTTTCCATAATCAGAGTTGTTAGAATGAATAAAATAAAGCAAAATTAGATTCTTGATGTAGATACACAAAATAGCATACCTATGGTTTGAAGCCTCCCCATATATAGGCATGGGATATAACATAGGACTTGAAGAAGGGGCCCATAAAACAACTGCAAGGCCATATAGTCCATCAGCAAAACAAAAATTGATTCTGATATTACTCACATAATAGAGGCATGGATCAATATATTCTTATCAACAATCAATGCAAAGGAAACAAAGAAGGATGATCTAAATTTGCGAAGGAAAAAAGGACCATTCAGTTAGGGCTTTTGGGTCTAGTATTTCTTAACAAATAAACAAACCATGAGTACAACAATGAAACTCAAATACTAGCACATGGGGAAGATTTCTTATCAACAATCAATGCAAAGGAAACAAAGAAGGATGATCTCAATTTGCGAAGGAAAAAAGGACCATTCAGTTAGGGCTTTTGGGTCTAGTATTTCTTAACAAATAAACAAACCATGAGTACGACAATGAAACTCAAATACTAGCACATGGGCAAGATTTCTTATTCAGTCATCTAATATGACAGATAGAAGTAAAAATTGTGATATCATTTTATGGCTTGCACACAACCATTCAATCTTCAGCCATTTTCCTACTCAGTAAAGCCCAAAATGACATGGCTTGCAATGCCCTTCATGAATAGAAATAAGAAGGCCGTTTCTGATAAAAATCTATACTTGAATGCAAATACCAGCAACGGTGAATCATACAGAGATATGAAGAAGGATAACTGACCTGGGGGGGGATAAGAAGATCGAGGATATCATGATAAAATGCAATTAAAACAAAGAAAATATTTGCTACGAATAAAGTCACTTCCCTGGGTTATGGAATGAATAAATAAATAATGCTCTCCACAGTTCCAACCAAAAATAAATATAGAGAAAATAACTTCAGTGACTAAAAATGCCTTATAATAAACGATTTTAACCAACTTTTTTTGGATTTGCCAAAATGACCAACTAAATCGCAATGCGATCGATAATTCGCAACGCGATCTCCGGTATCGCAAATCAGTTTCCAGATTCGCAACGCGAACTTGGACTATCGCAATGCGATTTACATATTCGCATTGCGATAGTCCAAGTTCGCGTTGCGATAGTCGAAGTTTGCGTTGCGATTTTCCAAATTCGTTGCGATAGTCGAAGTTCGCATTGCGATTTATTCCAAATTCGTTGCGATAGTTGAAAATTCGCGTTGCGATTTTCCAAATTCGTTGCGATAGTCGAAGTTCGCGTTGCGATTTTCCAAATTCGTTGCGATAGTCGAAGTTCGCGTTGCGATTTATTCCAAATTCGTTGTGATAGTCGAAGTTCGCGTTGCGATTTTCCAAATTCGTTGCGATAGTTAAAGTTCGCGTTGCGATTTTCCAAATTCGTTACGATAGTCGAAGTTCGCGTTGCGATTTTTTCAAAATTCGTTGCGATAGTCCAAGTTCGCGTTGCGATTTATTCTAAATTCGTTGCGATAGTCCAAAATCGCAACGACTGGTGGTATTGCATTTGTTTATTAAGAATTTTCTCTAAAAACATAGTATTCGCGTAGACTTGTCGAAGACACGTATTACCACGACCACGACCCGACCCGAGACGAGACAGACGGCGGCAGCGCGCGAGAGTCCCCCTTGTTCTCTATCACTCAACAAGGAAATGGGAAAGCCAAACCTTAAATAACATTCCCAATAGTGTTTCCAATACTATGTGGGATTGACCATTACCAACACTTGTTTCCAATACAATGTGATTATTCAGGAAACAATTAACAATCATGCACCTTAAAACAACTGAATCAGCAACCAATTGCATTAGTATTATACGATTAAATATGTCATAATTAAAAGTCATTCTACAATCAATCGCGATTATTGCAATTTTAAGCAAAACATTCAAAAATAATATCACTATTTAAGGCTCAATCCCACATAGTATTGGGAACAAGTGTTGGTAATGCTCAATCCCACATAGTATTGGAAACACTATTGGGAATGGTATTTAAGGCTTGGCTTTCCCACTTCCTTATTGAGTGATAGAGAACAAGGGGGACTCTCGCGCGCCGCCGCCGCCGCCGTCGTCTCGGGTCGTGGTCGTGGTCGTGGTAATACGTGTCTTCGACACGTCCGCGCGAATACTATATTTTTAGAAAAAATTCTTAAGAAACAAATGCAATACCACAAGTCGTTGCGATTTTGGACTATCGCAACGAATTTGGAATAAATCGTAACGCGAACTTCGACTATCGCAACGAATTTGGAATAAATCGCAACGCGAACAATGACTATCGCAACGAACTTGGAATAAATCGCAACGCGAACTTCGACTATCGCAACGAATTTGGAAAATCGCAACGCGAACTTCGACTATCGCAACGCGAACTTGGACTATCGCAATGCGAATATGTAAATCGCAATGCGATAGTCGAAGTTCGCGTTGCGAATCTGGAAACTGATTTGCGATACCGGAGATCGCGTTGCGAATTATCGATCGCATTGCGATTTAGTTGGTCATTTTGGCAAATCCAAAAAAAGTTGGTTAAAATCGTATATTATAAGACATTTTTAGTTACTGAGGTTATTTTCTCATAAATATATGGAAGTCATTCACCTTGCCAATGATTTTCATGACACACGTGAAAAATTCAAGAAAAAAGCATCAGTAATGCATGAGGAAAAAGATTTTTATGCTTTCTTATATAGTCGGAAAATAAAATAGAAAATTACAGCAGTCCTATATCCAGAGTTGATATGTTGCTGTGCAATACAAGTTTATGAGGGTTATAATGTGGCATACTTTGATGAAAACTATGATTCTACAGATGACATATAAGAACAGCCACCTTTGAAAAGCTAGCCTAGAGAATCAAAATAACAAAAAATCTATATATTTTTTTTGATAGAAAAAGAATCTATATATTGAATTGGTTAAAACAGAAGATTCACCTTGTTTTCTACCAGTGACTATACATAGAAGATTGTGGTGGGGGTCATAGTGAGCACTTGATCTCGCTTGGGCAATGTTCATCCACAAATTAATAGAAGATATATTTTTTCCCTCCAATATTGCAGGCTGTCCAAATCAAGCAATTGCAATCAAAGTTTTCATGAATTACTAGTTCTTCTTTAGAGAGCTAACTACTAACAATATGTAATGGTAGAAGGAAATATGCTGACCAAATGAATGTCCTCCTGTAGAGTTTCCAATTGAACCCTCTCTTCTTTCTCAGCATTTATAATTGGGATCTGAATCAGAAATGCCAAAATTCAACCATTGCATTAATTTTTAAACAGAAAATTGAAAATGAAGGATAAGCAGGAAAAGTTAAAATCTATATGGCCTCAACAAATTAAATAGGTGAAGCAATTGCAAGAAAGAATGTCAGGAGATATCTGCAATCACAAAACTCTCGAGTAGCAACCTGTGCTAGGTAGATCTGTTCTGGAGTAACATCTACATATGGTGAAGTTCCTAGCTCTGTGTCAGATTCTCCAAGTTGATGCCCTTCTGAATTAGAATTAACACTACAAGAACTATCAACATTTTGCCTGTGACGTTTACAAAAGCCAATAAAAGTAGAAAATGGTAATGGAACCTGTAAATAAATGCAAAAAACAAACAGATCATGGTTCTTGCATTCATCCAAGAGTGAAAATGCATCACAATCCTCAATGTACAAAGAACGAGAGTTAGTGAATTACCCTCTCATGTCTTCTAAGATCACCATAAAAAACTGGCGCAGTTTGTGATAACATAGCCTCCACCATGAATGATCCTACCCGTTCCTAAATTTAAATTCATAACCAAGAAAAATAGTAATATAAATACTTTAATTGAATAGAATAAACTGCGCAACTCCACTAATACAAATTTAATTCTAAGAACCAAGACCTCAACATGTTTATCATGGTATTAGCGCTCTTGTTTATTAATTAACTAATTGAATAGACTAATCACAGATGCAAATAAAAAATGCGGAATTACAGCTACTTTTCTAGATTTGAAACTCACTGCACCATTACCCTTCAATATTTTATCCAAAACTATTATTTATTTCAAAAACACTATGCATTTTCCTAAAAAACCTGTCAGCTTACAATATTTTGATTAAACAGTTAGTGTAAAATTCTAGCAATTATAAACCTCCAAATAGTCGAGGCCTCTATTCGAAGGATTCCATTCGGAAACAGCTTTCCAGTCCTTAACGCATCCAACGAACACCTTCGAAAAACGAAAACAGAATCAATGAACTAAGATTAAAGCAAACACCACCGCATAAATTATCAAAAGGAAAAACAAAAAAGTCCAGTCCAATTTTTCTATAGAAACAAACAGAAAAGCAAAAAAGAGATGAGATAACAGAAAAATACGGCGGGAATGTTTCGAGATTCAATCTGAGAGGCAAAATGTGTAGCTGATGGAAGTTGATCGAATCTTTGTAGTCGTACAGAGTCTTCCATTGTTATAATTTTTTCAATAGCTTGCTAAGGAACAACACAATCTTTTCACCTCGAAGAAGTTCGTAGTTTTGGCCTTCGGTTTTTACTTGTGCGACCGGTGAGCCACTGGAGCGCAGAGGGCCGAGCGAGACGCAAGGCTTTCTGGATCTAAATGGGTCTAATCACGACTTAAGAGAAGAAATATAGCATAGATTAATAAATAAATAAAAATACTCCATGTATTTAGCTCTTGAAAAACAAATAAGGTATAATCCCCGTTCTCACGACTTACCTCAGTGGACAACTGACTAATTATTATTCTTTAAGATCTCGTATTTAAAAATTTATAAAAAAAAAAAAAACTGGTATAAGCTCCATTCTCTCTAACTTCATTTCTCTGCCTTATTAAAACCTATACTTACCTCTTTCATTACAAGACTTTCAACAACACAGGCCCAGCTCATGAGCCTACTTAATATATTTCCAGCCTAATAGGAGTTCAAATGAACTATACTTATACAAGTAGGGTCGTATTTATGTCTGTTTATTTAATTTTAAAAATATTTATGTTCGGTTCTTATTTATATAAATTTTTAATATGATGTTCGTATCGTTTGTTTATTTTTTAAGATACCCACTTTCGGATTGTTTAAAATTCGTAAACATATTTATTTATATTTTCAGCAAAATGATGAAATTATGTCACTAGTCATAAGCTCCTTAGATTTTACACTTTAGACTCCACAATTTACTTTGTATTTAATTTAGCATCTGTCTCCACCAATATTTAAAATTTAAGAAAATAAAAGGAAAAGTAGAGTTATGTTTTGTTCGTTTATTAATAAACATAAAAAAATTATTTTTTTTAGATTAATAAACGAACGTAAACAAATGTTATATGAACGGTTCACGAACCGTTCATGTTCATTTATATTCCTACTTACTAACAAGGATAAAATAAATTGCAAATCACTTTTTTATGATTTTGATCATTAATAAATTATTTTTAAAAGTATAATACAATCAATCAATTAAAATATTATTATAATATATTTTTTAATCTAAAATTATTACAATGTAATATTTGTTTATAATCTTACTTAGTCATTGATAATACACATAAACCTTACAAACATAACTACTTGAAGTTATAACTTCAAAGAAGAATAACATCCCCTTAACTACTAAGATCACTCAATGAATTTGATCTTTGGTTTTACTATTTAATTTAGGTTTAATATAAAAAATGCCTAAATTATATCATTTTTCTTATTTAGGTGTCTAAATTTTTTTGAGTCAATTTAGGTGAATAACATTTTCAACGTTATCATTTAGGTGATTCGATCGTAACATACGTTATATAATCACGTCAACTACTCAAAATGTGATACGTGATGTATTTTATAAATTTATTTAAAAAAAACTAAAAATATTATTATTATTTTAAAAAAACTAAATATATAAAAAATCCTAAAATTTCTCCAATCCCAAAGCATTGTCCCACCCATCAGCCATCCACCACAACTACTACCCCCACTGGCCGCCGACCCCAACCATCGTGGACCGTAAATCCTAGCTTCCAACCCCAAAATTCCTAAATCCAAACCCTAAATCACTAAATTCCCCACATTCATCTCGATCAATGGATAAGTGATCATCGGGCTGGCGGTCGGTGATCGTTAATGATAACGATGGTTGAAACGGAATTAAAGGACTTGGGCTATTTATGAAAAAATAAAAAAAGTTGAGATATTTTTCAAAGTTTTATGATTTTTTTTAATTCAACGTTAGTATCAAATATTAATTGATTGACTGTTTTTTAACAAATTTTTTTAACAATTATTATAGTTTAGGCACTTAAATAACAATGTTAAAAATATTAAATACTTAAATTTATAAAAAAAATTAAACACTTAAATGAAAAATGTATATAATTTGGTCAATTATATATATATATATATATATATATATATATATATATGAGATAAGATCATGTTACACAATGTAAAATTCTTGTTATATATAGATTTGAGACCGTTGGATGAGTAAAAATATATAATTGAAATTAACCCTAGGAAATGAGAAGATATTTACAAAAAAATAAGACAATAGATAAATCTTAGTCATCTATTTACACTCAACTAATGATCCTAAATCTATATAAAATTAAAGATATTTACATTATCTAAGTAGATTTCCAATAACAATAACATTGATCATGCGACTGCAATCTTCTCCTACGCTGGGTGTTGTCTTCTCATGCACTTCCACTCTAATGCCAACTCCTTTGGCTCATTTCCACACTTACAATTGCTCTTCAATTTCGGCTCATGTCCCTATGTTAATCCAAACACAAATGAACCCTCCTCTCAAAATTCCAACTTTTCCTCGTAAAATCCATCCAAACCAATACCTTGAAGGATATTTGTCTTCGAGGAAACCTCAAGGAAGCATTTCAATCGCTAACAGTCTCATTCAATGATCACCCAAACGAGACTTATGGCGCTGTTCTTGATATTTGTGCTCACAAGAAAGCTCTTTATCAAGGGCTACAGATTCACGCCCACATGATAAAGTCTTGCTCCGTGCCCGAATCCGTGTTTTTAGGGACTAAGCTTGTGTTTATGTATGGGAAATGCGGGTCAGTTGAGAATGCTGAGAAAGTGTTTGATAAAATGGGTCAACGAAGCATTTTCACTTGGAATGCTATGATTGGAGCTTATGTTTCAAATGGGAAGCCTTTTGAAGTTTTTGAAACCTATAAAGAGATGCGGGTTTTGGGTGTTTTTCTTGATGCATATAGCTTTCCTTCTCTGCTTAAAGCTAGTGGTTTGCTTAAAAATCTCTACTTAGGAGCTGAAATTCATGGCCTGGCTGTCAAGTTTGGGTATGATTCTGTTGTTTGTGTTGTCAATTCTTTAGTTTCTATGTACGCGAAATGTAACGATCTTTGTGGAGCAAGGAAATTATTCGGGAGAATGGTTCAAAAACATGATGTAGTTTCATGGAATTCTATAATTTCAGCATACTCTTCAAGTGGAAAATCTAGGGAAGCATTGGAACTTTTCAGGGAAATGCAAACGGCTGGTCCTGACTCAAATACTTACACCATCGTTGCTTCTCTTCAGGCTTGTGAGGATTATTCATTTAGGAAATTAGGTAAGGAGATACATGCTGCTGTGTTGAAATCAGCTCACCTTATCGATGCTCATGTTGCCGGTGCTTTGGTTGCCATGTATGTCAGGTGTTGTAAGATGAGTGAGGCTGTAAGAACTTTTAACGAATTGGACGAAAAGCATAAAGTAGCCTGGAATTCTCTGCTTACAGGGTTTATCCAAAATGGTATGTACAGTGAAGCTTTGCATTTCTTCCATGATTTTCGGAATGCTGGTGAAAAACCTGACCAGGTTACAGTGATAAGCATCCTACTAGCTTGTGGGCGATTGGGATACTTATTGAATGGTATGGAATTGCATGCTTATGCAATAAAAAATGGGTTTGATTTAGATTTGCAGGTTGGAAATACACTTATAGATATGTATGCAAAGTGTAGTTGTGTGAACTACATGGGCTATGCCTTTAATAGGATTCCTGACAAAGATTTAATTTCTTGGACTACAGTTATTGCTGGCTATGCTCAAAACAGTTATGGTTTAAAGGCTTTCGAATTGTTTCAAGAAGTGCAATTAGTTGGTATTGATGTTGATCCCATGATGATAGGTAGTGTACTGATGGCTTGTAGTGAACTGGCATGTGTGTCCCAAGTGAAAGAAATTCATGGTTACATTATAAGAAGAGGCTTGTCTGATATTGTGCTACAAAACATGATCATTGATGTATATGGAGAATGTGGAAGCATAGATTATGCTGTGCGAACATTTGAGTTGATCAGGTTTAAGGATGTTGTGTCTTGGACAAGCATGATTTCTGCTTATGTCCACAATGGGCTTCCTAATGAAGCTCTTGAACTGTTCCATATCCTGATGAAAACTAATATTAACCCTGATTCTATAGCATTAAAGAGCGCACTCTCTGCTGTTTCCAGCTTGTCTGCCGTGAAGTATGGGAAAGAAATCCACGGCTTTATTATCAGGCAAGATTTTATTCTCGAAGGATCCATTGCCAGCTCTCTTGTGGATATGTATTCTCGCTGTGGAATGGTAGAGAGTGCACACAAGATATTTAAGTCTGTTCAAAGCAAAGATTTAGTTCTATGGACAAGTATGATAAATACATATGGGATGCATGGCTATGGAAAAATAGCCATTAGTTTATTCAATAAAATGAAGGAAAACCTCACTCCAGATCATATTGCTTTTTTGTCAGTTTTATATGCTTGCAGTCATTCAGGACTGATTGATGAAGGTAGACTATTTTTCCAGATCATGAAATATGAATATCAATTGCAACCGTGGCCAGAGCACTATGCTTGTTTGGTTGATCTCCTTGGTCGAGCTAATTGCTTAGAAGAGGCATATGAATTTGTGAAAAACATGCAGATGGCACCTACTGCTGAAATTTGGTGTGCAGTCCTTCGGGCTTGTCAAGTACACTCAAATCAAGAACTAAGAGAAATTGCAGCCCAGAAACTTTTGGAGTTAAACCCCAAGAATCCCGGACATTATGTGCTTATTTCTAATGTCTTTTCAGCAGAAGGAAGATGTAAAGATGCTGAAAAAATTAGAACTAGAATGAAGGAGAGAGGCCTGAAGAAAAGTCCTGGATGTAGTTGGATTGAGGTAGGGAACCAGATTCATACTTTCATGGCAAGAGACAAGTCTCATCCCGAGTGTCATCAGATAACCAAAAAATTGGATCAAATCACACAAAAATTAGAGAAGGAAGGAAGTTATGTGCCTCAAACAAAGTTTGTTTTGCACAATGTGGAAGAAAATGAGAAAGTTAAGATGCTGTACGGGCACAGTGAACGATTGGCCATTGCATATGGATTGCTCAAGAATGCTGAGGGAACCCCCATCCGGATTACAAAGAATCTCCGTGTCTGTGGTGATTGCCATACTTTCTGTAAGCTAGTTTCGAAATTCTTCAGATGTGAACTTCTTGTGAGGGATGCAAATAGATTTCACCATTTTGAGGATGGGATTTGTTCCTGTGGGGATTTTTGGTGACTGTTGCATCCAATTCTTTGAATCAGACTATTCATCGTCCTACCTGCTGCTGGTATTGGAAGCCACCCACAGTTGATCAAGCAATTTTTCTTTATGTCGTCCCTTCTGGTTCAAATCTGCTAAGAGTGAATAAAATTATCATCATTTCCCCAGTGGCAGTGACCATGCTGTAAGCCTGAGATGCCAAAGCTGCTATTAAGATTGCCAATCAATGATTCAATTGTGGAAAAAAAAACACCAATAAAACCCAGACTCGGATGGAAATTGTGTGTGCTGTGTTATAAGATGTGCCTAAGCAGGGGCTTTTTGGTTGACGATGTAAGATTTCTAGGTGATATGGGTTGTATTGGTGTTTATTCCCGCATGTGGGTTTGGTGTTACCTCATGTACTTAGTATTATATTTAATAAATAGAGGCACTCTTTCTCCCTCCTTCCTTGTTCAACATACTTCTAAGTATGTGGAAGAATACGAAGGGAGTTTTTAATGAGACCTCCAACTTCTATCAAAAAAAAAGATGTGCCTAAGCAGGGGGTGAATCTGTAACCATATTGATTCCTATTTTTATTCATGCCATGGCTGATTCATTATTGTTGTACATTATGATTTTAATATGACTGGAAAATGAACTAATATTGGTAGTAAATATTTTGTCCTGTTTACAACATGTTTTCAAAATGGATCACCATGGCACGAGGTGGCTCATCTCGTATGTCATGGTCTTAGAAGTTATGAATCCATATTCTTCGATTTTCGAGATCATTTTGTAAATAAAATCGTCAAGTCTTTGACAAAATGAGCGACCTATTATAACAAGTTTCCCAGTTCCAATACTCCTCGCTCTTGGGTCTCGGTTCTTACGGCTTCCCTTTTCGTTTTGTCTCTGTTTAGATATCAACAAAAAAGGGGGTGCTCAAGTTAATGTTCTCAACACACCATCTCTTCACTTAACAAAGAAATCGAAGAAGCGATCCATGGATGATTACTACTACAGGTAATTCTTCTCTCAACCCTACAATTCTTTCTCAAATATTTTAAAGTACAATTAGAAAAACATCTGTTGAAACAGAGTGTTCCGTTATGTCCTTTAAAGCAACAAAAACTATGTTAATTAGAGGATCATTTTAAGTAATTTGTCAGTAGAGGATTGCTGCTTTTGCCAGGGAACTTCATTACCAGATTTCAAATGCATGATGGTTGAATAATGGAAGACACTCAGGTAGAAACATGAAAGGTATTTTATTTTTATAAGAATTAAGTACAAATAGTAGCACAAATGATACTGATTCAAAACTTCTATTAAGAAATAAACCATACCAGATCTTACAAAAGAATAAGCTAACAATCGGCATGTAGCTAGAAAAATCCTAGGTAAAGTTAGAGCAAACACAAAAAAGTTAGATCGTATATATATATATATATAAGGAGTTAGTGGTTCTCAAAACATAAGAAATCTAGAATCATGATCTCATTACGTTGTTTGTCCTCTGTTCGGCATGTCAGTGGAGTGATTACGAACTTCGATCTTTATTCTTTCGGAACCTTACCTTATTGCACTTGCAGTTCCATGCCCGTAGGATGAAGGTTTCTTGTAGATGGCTTGCTTAACATTTGTGAGATAACTCAAGAAGGGTTTGTCTGAAACGGGCATGAGCTTCACAAACCATGCAATTGGCCATGAGAAAGCTCCGAGTAGGATACAAACTCCCCATTGCCATAGTTCCAATCTCTCTGTATCGGCAAACTCCTTTAAAAATTCCACCATAACCACCTGAAGAATTATGGTTATCCCCACAATTCCCATAAACAATCTGTTCTGAAGAATGCCTTGGAAAACATTTTGCTTCTCCATTTTCCTTGCATTGAACTCGTTGAAAACTTGGCAGAGAACGAAGGTGTTGAAAATCAGTGTGTCATTTACCCTCGCATGCACATTGAATATAGACTCACCTCTAAATTGTAAGATCAAGAGAATAGTTATCTGGTACAGTGCTTGGGCTAAAAGATTCCTCCACATAATATTGGTAATGAGAGGCTCAGTTCGACCGACGGGTGGCTTCGTCATTAGCTCCTTCGTCGGCCTATCTGTTGCAAGGGCTAGAGCACCAAGTGTGTCCATGATGAGGTTTACCCACAGCAATTGAACTGCAGTCAAGGGAACCTCCCCGGCAGAAACTGCTGCGATGAAATTAATTACAAGAGCTGCAACATTTACGGTAAGTTGGAATTGAATAAACTTCTGTATGTTGTTATAAACACATCTTCCCCATCTTAAAACCGTGGCAACTGAGCTAAAATTATCATCCAGTATAACAATGTCCGAGCTCTCCTTGGCCACTTCAGTGCCTTGAATGCCCATCGAAAGTCCAATGTCAGCTTCTTTTAGTGCGAGAGCATCATTAGTGCCATCCCCTGTGACTGCGACCACTTCACCTTTATGTTTCAAGCACTGTACCATCAGAAGCTTGTCAAATGGAGAGGACCTTGCCATCACCTTGATCTTATTTAGCTTCTCCATTCTCTCTTCAGGTGTATAGTTTCGGAATTGAATACCTTCTATAGCTTCTCCACTTTCTTCATTGTAATCTGGTCCTAGAATTCCACATTCTGTAGCTATAGCTTTCGCTGTGAAAATATTGTCTCCGGTAATCATTTTGATGTCCACCCCAGCAGATTGGCAAGCTTCCACGGCTTTCTTCACCCCCTGGGCGACATGGATCCTTCAAACCGACTATCCCCAGCAAGGTTAAACCATCTTCTTTTATTCTTTGATGCGTCTTTCCGCTATCATCATCATGTTCCATCTCTTCTCGTGATACTTGCTTGTGAGCAAAAGCAATGCATCGTAGGCTACTAGCTGCCATGCCTTGGATTATCGTTTCAATCCTGCTCCTTTGGTCTTCGTCCATGGACCTTATGACTCCATTGGTCTCATAATATTGTGAGCACATGGACACAATAATCTCTGCAGCTCCTTTCCAGTGTACATTAGTGGTTTTGTCAGCTTTTCTCTTTATTGAAACCCCGCTTCGCTTTTTCTCCGAGTTGAAGGTTTCAACATGAAGAATGCTGTATTTTTGCTTCAATTTTTCCATATCCAGACCCAAACCTAGGACAGCCCAAGAGAGAATTGCCTTCTCTGTTGGACTGCCAGAAAACTCCGGTACGGAGCTGGAGATGGGTTTGCAGACACTACCAGTTGTGTTCAAACCAACAGCTTGGTAGAATAATTCAAGAACAGTCGGGTCAATGGTGTTGGAACGGTCTTCCTCGATGGACTCTTGGCCGAGCCAAAACTGGGTTACTTTCATCTGATTTAGTGTCAAGGTTCCAGTTTTGTCCGTACAAATAACTGTAGCTGAACCCATCGTTTCACAAGCTGAAAGTTTCCTAACCATTGCCTGATCAGCCATCATTCTTTTCATGGAGTAAGCAAGTGTAAGAGTGACAGCCAATGGTAAACCTTCCGGGATTGCAACGACCACAATAGTTACGGCATCCGAAACTATACGAACAACACCATTCAAGATATCGTCTACTTTGGCCTTGCTACCAATGTATTCCGTTCTCCCTTCGTCATCTTTCGTATTCCCAGTGAAATAACGGATTAATAAAACCACTAGGACTAGAAAGGCAACTGCAAGACCTATCTTTCCGATAGAAGAGGTTAGTTTGTCGAGTCGTTCTTGTAGCGGTGTTCTTTCGTTCTTGTCACTGGTAATTGAGCTCATCATTTCACCCCATGTAGTGTCCATTCCCACGGATGCTACAAGCATCTGACCATATCCATCTGCCACTTTTGAACCAGAAAAAAGGAATAGATTCCTGGTGGCATCTACTTCCACATGGTCACTCTCTCCTGTCATGCTCGATTCATCAACTTGCAGCGAATATCCATCCAAGAAAATTCCATCTGCTGGAATTTGATCTCCGATTTTCAGGAAGACAACATCTCCGACAACGACATCGAATATCGATATTTGTTGACGGCGGCCACCTCTAACAACTTCAACTTTGATGTTGTTACTTATTTTCGATAGCTTGTCGAATTCAGTCTCCTGTCTGAAGTTACTCAGTGCAGAGACAGCAATCACAAGAAAGACGGCAACGAAAATACTTCCACCTTCGTACCAACCCTCTTCCCCGCCGTGCACTTTGATACCAAAACCAAGAGAAAGAGCAGCACATACCAAAAGGATAAGGATTGTGGTGTCCTTAAAAGCATCCATCACGAAGTACCATAATCCTTTCGGAGGCGGTTTGTGGTAAGTATTGGCACCAAACGTCTCCCGTCTTTTTTTAAACTCTCGGTCGTCATCTTGGATTCCCTTTTCAGGATTCGTGCCAAGAGCAGCAGCCACGCCCTCGACTCCTCCAAGCTGGCGAAGAGAACCCAAGTCTTTTTCTTTCACGGTCTCCACGAGTCTCTTCCGATCCATTTTCGGTGCAAAGGAGGAAGACAAATACTTTTCACCCCACTGCTGAGAGCTCGATGGTTCAATATCAAGCGCGACGTACGGATGCAGATCGGATAAGATCGAGGGTTGTTGGCTGCTTCTTTTCGATATTATCTCCTTGGCAAGAGAAAGCATCACCCGTACTGAATATATCGATGCATAGGCAATGCGCCAACGCTTCTGAGCCGAGGTGAAGCTGGAGGCTGTGACCGAGAGGAGCAACGTCCCGCAATCATACAGTTTGTTATCGTCACCGCCGGACATGGTTCGGTCGTTGCAGGGTTTTCTCACCAGCTAGGAAAATGTTTGGAGTTGTGTTTGATAAGAGAGAATGAAACTTCTTTTCAACTACAAATGGGCGACGCCGTATTTATAATTAGCATTGGAAGGTTTTGGTCAACAGACCGCCTCTGCACTTGCAGCATGTTACTGACCAGGTTCGGCCTTAAAAGTCATTTGACAACCATAATGCCTAAAACTACAATATCGATCCTTGTACGATAATGTGGAATGCATTTTAGTCCCTGTACGGGCAGAATGGTCATTTCTGTTGTAGTTAAAAATTACTA